AAGCGCTCTTGAGCCCTTATTTGCCTCATCACAGCAGCTGCCACCACTCTCCTACCAGGCGGCTTTCAAATCCTTTCTCCACATGTTAGTCCGGAGCACTTTTTAAAAACACAGGCACCAAAATCCTCCTTGAGACCTGTAAAGTCTATGTTTTAACATCTGCCGACTTTCCAACTCACACATCTCAGCCCGCTTCAGTTCCTGGAGTAATATACCAGGCAGTTTCTTTCTCGAGTGGGTTCCTTTTAGCATTCTGCCTTGGCTAGAATATTAATCATACTGTTTAATTGTTTACTTATTATTCACCAACTACATTTTAAATCCACAAGAACCTGGGCCCTGTCAATATTTGTCATCATTGAAAACCCTGATTCCTGTACAGTGTTTGGCCTGTAGATACTCAGCATTTATTGAATAAGTGACTGAAATGATTGGCTTTAGCTCGTTTGTTAATTCAGCAAGCTTTGAGCAGCCCTTGTTTGTATTGTATATGTTTAACACATAGTTTGCAAAGCACTGACAAGTAAGTTGTATTATTTAATCATGATGAGCCTATTTAATGGCAAGTCACACAAAAATAAACAAAGTCCCTTTCTTTGAAGTGCTCACATCCCAGTGAAGGAGGCATCTGTGTACCACTTGTCATGAAAGAACACCTCTAAGTCTGCCAAAGGGTGACAGAAAGGGCTCACTTCCCAGAGGCATGTGGCAGAAGCAGAAATCTGAGGGGGACGTTGAAAGGGTATCCTAAACAGAAGAAATAGGTTGTGCAACAGCTTGGGAGCATTAAAAAACAAGTCATGCTATGTTAGGTTTGTTGGACTTTAAGTTGCATGGGGAGGATAGAAGGGGTAGGTTGTACCAGCCTGAGTTTTTTTTTTTAAGATTTATTTATGCATACAGAACTGGGGTACAGGCCAGAGGTGCAGGGCATTGAGAACAGATTGATGGACGAAGCGCACTGCTGAGGGGAGCAGCAGGATGATCAGGAGAGGTCTGCCATACTATGTGGGTCACTTCCGGGGGCTGGGGATCGAATTGCACTGAAGGGGCTGCGGCCAGCTTGCAGTGCTGCGTCCTACCCCGTTGCACCACCAGGGAGGGCCAGCTTGAGACTTTAAGTGGCATTCTTGAAATAACCCTGTGAGAAGACAGGGTAGACACAGTACCATTTTACAAGTGACAACTGAGGTTCAGGTTCCTTATAGAGTAAGTGGCAAGACCAGGATTACAACCCAGCTCTGACTCCCTCTGCCCTAAGGTTGGCACTTATTATGGTGCCAGGTTGGAGGGGCCAGGTAAGACTCAGACTTACTCTCTGGCAACTATGTTACCATCTCCCTATCCTGGACTCCAGATCCAAAAGTTTCTGCAGCAAGCCCAGAGGGGGCCTGTGGTCAAGGAGAGAGAGGGGGCTCTGGTCAGCCTTCGTCGAGGTTTGCAGCACCCGGAGACACAGAAGACCTTCATCAGGTCAGTGGGTGGTGTGTTGGTGGTTGTGTTCTGAGCAGGAGTCCAGGAGGGACGGGCCACAGGCTGAACAGGACATGGTGCTCACTTCTTTAGGCTGGAGGGCAGCATGCGCACCCTGGTCGGGCTCCTGACTAGCAACCAGGCCCTGTTGCAGCTTGAGGCAGCTCGGTGCCTTCATGAGCTCTCTCACTCAGAGCAGCCTGCAGTAGCCGAGGCCTGCCTGCCAGCCACTTCCTACCTCCTCACCTTCCTCTCTGGTTACAGCGCAGACTTTATAGTAAGTCTTTTCCCTTCTTACCCGGGATTTTAAAATTGTGTTTTGGGTCGTTTGAGCCAGCAGGTTGGGGGAGGAAGGCAACCAAGTTTCCCTGATGCCCATAGCCATGTGTGGACCCATCACATCTCACTCCCTGTGCCCAACCTGTGGGACGAGGCTGTTCCATCTTCCCTTCCCTGGCCAGAAATGGCCAACCCCAGGACTTGTGTGTCCATCCTCAGGAGCTCTGTTTGTATACACTGGGTAACCTGATTGTGGAGAGCGAGACCGTAAGGAAGCAGCTCCTGCCACAGGGCATTGTTCCAGCCTTGGCTGCCTGCATCCAGGTGAGTAGCTGCCTGGAATCCCTGAGCAACCCTTTTAACCTCATACGTGCCGCCCCGGCTTTGGGTAGGTAACTCCGGCCCCTGCCCCGTGCTAGAGGGTTGAGCCTCAGGAAATCTTACGGCCCAGCTACTGGCGTCAGATCCCTGCACTATTCCTAGTCCCCCCACCTGTCTGTGCTGGAAGCCCTTGGATACGCCTTGTCCCAGCTTCTGCAGGCTAAGGAAGCTCCAGAGAGCATCATCCCGTAAGTAAAGTTGTGCCTCCACATGTGCCGGCGGGGTGGCTCTTGGACGCCTCAGCGAGTCTGGTTTCCAGAGCTGACACATTTTAGCTCCATGTGTGTGGCTGGGAAAGGCTTTGAATTTGGATACTTTGCCACCTGCTGCTAGGGCTTGTGGTTCCTACTCACAGCTCTGCTTCTGCCGGCAGCTCAGTTCTAGGCTCCACTCTCCCCCAGCACATGCTGCAGCTGTTGCAACCTGGCCCAAAGCTGAGCCCTGGGGTCGCTGTGGAGTTTGCCTGGTGCCTTCACTACATCATCTGCAGGTAACACAGGCCTGTGGAGAACGTGCCACACTCCCCCTGGGGCTCCTCCATGACAGGGAGTGTAGGCTTCTAGGATGGCTGTCAATTTTTTTTTCATTCCATGTTCTTCTTTCTTTCTGGAGGCCAGAAATCTCAGACTTAGGCCATTTGCTTATTGTGACTGCTTTCTGTCGCCCAGTCAGGTCAACAATGAGCTCCTCATCACCCAAGGGGCTCTCGCCACTCTGGGGCTGCTGCTGCTGGACTTGGCCGGGGCTGTCCAGAGAACAGAGGGTGCAGGATTGGAGCTGGTAGGTCAAAAGGACAGATCAAGATCTGGATAGCCTTTCACACCTTCCTCCTTACATTGACTCTTAGCTTGTCTTTGTAGTTGGCATGTCCTGTACTTCGGTGTCTTAGCAACCTGCTGACAGAGGCGGCAGTGGGGGCTGCAGGTGGACAGATGCAGTTTGGAGACGAGCGTGTTGTGGCGGCCTTGTTTATACTTCTGCAGTTCTTCCTCCAGACACAGCCCAGCCTGCTCCCTGAGGGCCTCTGGCTCCTTAACAACCTCACAGGTATGCCTAGATGGTGGGAAGACCTCCCCAGGGTTGGGTTGAGGTGGGGAGGGCTGGGAGAGGGTGCGGCACTTTCAGGCCACTTGAGGGACTTCCCCCCGACATTTCCCCTTTCAGCAAACAGTCCTAGTTTGTGTACCTCCCTGCTCTCCCTGGATCTCATCGAGCCCCTCTTGCAGTTGTTGCCAGTATCTAATGTGGTGAGCGTACTGGTAGGTATTAGGGTCACTTGGGAGACCAAAGGTGTAAACAGTGTGACAGGCCTGTAAACAGTGGGACAGGCCTGACCCCTTAGAAGAGCCTGCGCTGAGAGCTGGCAGGTGGGGTGATAGGGTCTGTAAACTAGTTAATTGCTAACCTTGGGAAAATCAGCTAGCCAGTTTAAGCTTTACTTTCCACGTTCGTTAATTGGGAATTGTAACCCTGGGGGTTGTTGTGGTTCAGGGGAATACGCATATACAGGTGACTGGCATGGGACCTGGACATGTATTTTAGCTGTCATTACACTCGTTGGTTTTCATCCTCTGTGGGGACTGTCTGCAGGTACTCACAGTTCTGTGCAATGTTGCAGAGAAGGGTCCTGCTTACTGCCGGCATATGTGGCCAGGGCCCCTGCTCCCCGCCTTGCTGGGCATGCTAGCCTCCTCTGACACTGAAGTAGTAGGCCAGAGTCTGGAGCTGCTGCAACTGCTGTTCCTCTATAGGCCAGAGGTGGGTGTCTGCCCCCACCTACCCCCCAGTCCTCACCATGGCCTGTTTCCTTGGATCTTAATTTGAGTCACTCCTCTGGTCCTGGCTATCCTATGTGGGCGTTTGCTCAAAACCTCCACCCTCCTATTGGGAGTGTATTCTCTTCCAAGAATAGGTGGGCTAACCTTAAGGCTGTGGAAATTGTTAGAGCATAGGGACCCAGGTGTTGATCCTTTCCTTTCCTGCTCTCAGGCTGCCCAGGACTTCTACCAACAGTCAGGGCTGCAGGCCTTGGAAAAGCATGAGGTGGTGGCAGAGCTCCAAGATCGTGTGCGTGCTCTCCAGCAGAGAGCTCTTCAGGAGTGACCTGGCTTCTTGATGACACTACCTACATGCCTCATCCTCGCCACCCTGTCCTTCCTTGCCATGGAGTCCTCTCTGGGGATTTACAGCCATAAAGAGGTCTCATATTCTCTGCTCCACACCTAAACCTAACTGGGATCTCATTCATCTAGCACTGTCCAGCCAGGAAGGCCTGAGGAAACTGTGGTCTACTTTTTCCTTGAATCTTCTTTTTCTTTTCCTATCTTTTTCTTTTACTTCACAGCTGATGACTTTTGACGGGAGAGAATAAAGTTTTATTTTTATAATAAGCTGCTTTCCCTCTGTAGTTACAGTAAGGGGTAGAGGGTGGAGGGAGAAAAAGAACATGCTGAGACAGTCTCTTACACATAAGCTTTATGGAGGACTGGAGAATACATTCATCCACACTGTACTCAGTCCAGCAGTGCCCAGGCTGTGGGGCTGTTCAGTGGAAGCTTCAGGGTTTGCCACTTAGTGCGTTCTCCAGGGCTCTCATTACCTGATCAGCATTGAAATTGTTCAAGGAGACATGATTCTCTTGGCCAAATGCTGAAGAGAGAAAAAAAGTGACTAAGTATCTACTCAGCCTTGTGGGACTGCCAAAGTATAAGAGATCTTTAACTTTCAGTCTTGTTAGGATTAGACGGGTAGTAAAGAGATGTGAAAAGTTAGATTTTGTTTGCCTAGAACATAATCAGCGGGTCTCAAACACATATAGGAAACACAAATCCAACTAGAATTTTGGCAGCCTCTGGTGACCAGCGGGAAGGAAGGTGTTTTAGCCAAGTTCTTAGGCATGATTGACACTGAAACTACTGAAAAACATTGAATGGGCCCAGGCTTCTGGGTGCCCATTCTATGGCTCACAGTCCATCTGGTATAATACATTGGAATGATCTGAGTCCATCTCCCACTACTCAAAACAATTAGTGCATGACATGAACAGGTAGCCTCTGTTAGAAACAATCTACTCTCAGACATTCCAAGGCAAGGTGTAGTTAAAGGTCATTGTTACAATACCATCATTCACTAAATATATTTACTACAAGTCAGTTATGTACCATAACTATTTTCTGACAGTGGCAAACTGAAATAAGGTAATTTCAAAAAAGAACTACAGGGAATGTTACATAAGGGAATGCCTTTTTGAGGAGGCAAGATAGAAGGTGAGACCTAAACAACAAGGTGTCAGCCATGGAGATACAGCAGAAGAGCACGCTAGGAATATGGAAACAAATGTAACGGCTTAGTTCCGTTACTGCTTAGCTACATAAAGTGCCGCGTTCCTCCCATTCTTAATTCAGCCTTCTAATCTCTAGAATGAGAAAAAAGATGAATGCAATTTAGGCAGAAAAGCACTCAGAACTGCACCTACCATTAACTACTCAACAAAGAGTTACTAGTTTAGGTTTTTATTATTAAAATTCTCACCCTCTACCCGAACCAGCACGTCTTAATTTGGAAGGCTCGATATTGAAAGGAATTATTGATCACCGTTTCTTTTCTCTTACTTGAAATCTTTTGATTTGCAAATAGCAACTCCTGGTCCCTACGTAGGGCCGGGCCAGCCGCCAAGCAGATTTTACCAGGGACACAAAACACCCCATAAGCTTGCGATGTATGTGTCCTTACGGGGAACAAGGGCAAAAGAAAGGCCGAACTCCGAGGTCCAGTCTCTCGACAGGAGTCTGCATGACCTTGGGCCACGGACTCTCAAACACTGTTCCCCAGCGAGGTCCTGGACCCCCCAGCATCCCGCGCTCACCGTAGCGGGCCCAGAGTTTGGGCTGCACATCTGAGCACTCGCGGATCAGAATGGGCAGGTCCGGGTTTGCCTTCTTCAGCTCCACATAGCGTTTCTCGATGAAGTCCCTGCGGGGTCAGAGAAAGCGCGGCTCTGTGAAGTGATGAGACCGCCACCATGGAGGTAGAGGGCAAGACCCGGGAGGCGCAACCCCGCCCACCTCACCACGCCGCGCCTCACCTGACGCCTTGGCTGCTGGGCGAGCGCTGACACAAGTGGATGCGAATCTCCCGCAGGGCCCGGACCCCTCGACTTCCCGCGGCCGCCGCCATGTCTGTTGGGCCCTAAGCCCCGCCCACCCTCGGCTTTCCGGCCAACTCCTCCAGTCGAAACAGTGGCGGGCCCTCTGGCCTCCGCGATAGGTTGGTTGGCGACAGGGGGCGGGACAAAGGTTAGCCAATGCCATAAAAGTAATGCCAGGGCTGCCTCCGGTTTCTCCGCAGCGGGGTAGGGGCTGCGGAAGGGTAGCAGGGCGCAAGGCACTGTGGGTTGTTTCCTGAGGTGCATTGTGGGGGAGATTCCTGTCGCCGCTGTGTTGTTGTTGGAGATTCAGCTTTTGCTGGCGTCGAAAGACCGCGGACAAAATGCCGGAGCGAGATAGTAAGGCTTGGGTCATACGCCCTTTCTTGCTCGAAGATCTTTTTTGGCTTCAGAACTTGAACCCGTTGTGACTTGTGACGTGTGTAGCCTGGCGAAGCCGTAGGGTCCCCAGTAAGGCCGGGTCGCCCCACTTTCGGTCTCAAAGCTTGAACCCTGCCCCAAGTGACGACAGGAGTTTTTTTTAATCTTCGAAACCATTCTTCCTCTATCCTCTCCTTTAATCGTGAATTGCTCCAATATGTCTTATCGTCAGATGTCATCTTCGGGACATCATTTGTGCACCCCAGTGCACAAGCTCAGGGCATGTCAGGAGGCTTCCACCGCTCCTAGTGTTTTCCCACTAAAGCGCTTACTACGTTGCATTGTCACAGTCGATGTTCTTGCCTTTTTTCTTCACTAGAACTGTGAGCATTTGACAGGAAAATACATCTGTATTAATTCACTTCTCTGACTCCACCTTTTGCACAGGATTATTATGACACCAAAGAGTTTAAGTTACTATCCATTCTTTTTCTTAGGCGAGCCCTTCTCCAATCCTTTGGCTCCAGATGGCCACGATGTGGACGATCCTCATTCCTTCCACCAGTGAGTGTTTGTGTGTAGGGCCTTGGGAATGAGTTGGGCAGTGAGTAGAAACAGTGGTGGTGGTGAAAGAATTTTGTGTAATTTGTGTGTGTGTGTAGAAGAACTGAGGTATAGGCCAGAGGTGGGGGCTGGGCCTGTGACAGGAGTCACCAGGGACAGTAAATCCAGCTGCACAAGTGGATTTACTGAAATACACTGCCGAGGGGAGCAGCCTGCATTTCTAGAGAAGTCAGCTGAGCCATATATGGGTTAGCTCCTGGCTGGGGGTTGAACTCAGGCTGCAGAGGTGATAGTGCTGAGACTTAAGCCATAGGCTACCAAGGAGGCCTGGTTTTTATTATTTTTTTAAAGACTTATTTATTCATGGGCCCTCCCTGGTGGCTCAATGGGTTAGGACACAGCACTGCAAGCTGTTGGCAGCCACCTCAGTGTAATTTTGATCCCAGCCTGGAAGGTGACCCACATGGTGCAGCAGACCTCTCCTGACATGCCTGCTGCTCCCCTCAGCAGTATACTTCCTCGATGCCTATTCTGCTTCCCAGTTTGTCTCTGGGGAAGCCTCTCACTTCCCCTCCACCTCTGGCCTGTACCCCAGTTCTTTTTTTTTTAAGATTTATTTATTTATGCATACACAACTGCGGTACAGGCCAGAGGTGCAGGGGCAGTGAGAGGCTTCCCCAGAGACAGAACGAGGAGCAGAATTGGCAGGGGAGCAGTGTGCAAGACAGGAAAGGTCGTTTGTGCCATGTGGGTCAGCTCCCTGGCAAGGGATCGAACTGTGCTAAAGCAGCTGTGGTTAGTTTCTGAGTGCTGCGCTTTAACCCATTGTGCAACCAGGTGGGCCTGGTGTTTATTATTTTTAAAGCTACAGTTGAGCCTGCTTTATTGGCCTTGTACATAGATGCCAGCAACTTGCCAGGCTGAGTGTATGTGACGAGTTGCTGGGTCTTAGTATATATATCACTTAAATTTTGAAAAATACTGCCAAAGTGCCTTACAAATTGGCTATTCTGGATTTATATTCTCATCAGTAGGATGAAAGTACTCATTTCCCATATTTCTTCATACTTTTGATTTCTCAAATTCTAATTGTTAATAATCTGGTGCATTAAAGGTAGTATGTCTTTTAATTTGTATCTCCCTGATTTTTAGTAATCATGTTTTTTACATTTTCATTTCCTAATTAATATTGTATACAATTTTTTAATTTTTAAATCATTTCCTTTTAGGTCCAAACTCACCAATGAAGACTTCAGGAAACTTCTTATGACCCCAAGGGCTGCACCTACCTCTGCACCACCCTCTAAGTCACGTCACCATGAGTAAGTTCTGGGGAGATTCTACCTGTTAGCCGTCTCCTCACAGAAAATCTGCTCAACTAGGTGTCTAAGAAACTGGATGGCTAGTTCTTTTTTGATACCTGTTGTTCTGACTTTTGTTCTGTATATTAGAGTACCAATGAGGAATGTGATGCCCTATAATCTCCCTTTTTGTCAAAATATGTTCCATGGACAGTTTGCAGTAGAGTTAGTGTTGTTGCTTAAATGGGCAGATTTCTGAATCCTTTTCAGCTTCACAGACTCAGTGTCTGGGGCAGATAGTTGAGGATATATAATTTTAATAGTTCCTCAGGTGCTTGTGATGCTTTCTAAAGCTTTAGAATTACTTACTTGCAAATTCTGATATGAATATCTGCTTGCCTGATTGAAACTGTTGCTTGTGGTAGTATTTTAGGTGTTTCTTCAGTTTTCAGAGCCGCTTCTTAAGATTGTGGCAATATTGTGCTATCATTGAATTTCTTTCTCTCTTAGGATGCCAAGAGAGTATAATGAAGATGAAGACCCAGCTGCCCGAAGGAGAAAAAAGAAAAGGTGAAGGATGGAGCAGTGTTGGGTCTTAAGGTCGATAGTGTCGGGAGGATAGGACAAGTTATAAGGGTAGAAATTAAAGTATTTTTTGATTGGCTTGAGGGTCCCTGTTCTCTTAGTGGAGAGGAGCGCTATGTCAAATGATGTCACAGGGCTTTGGTGTCAATCTGTGGTGTCTTAATGATCTTCACCACTTATTGGCTGGATAACCTTGGGCATTTTCTCAGATTGTCATGATCACTGCAACAGTACAGATAAGAGCTTAGCAGGGCTGGGCATGTAGTAACCATTCAGTACATTTCGGCTGTCATCACTGTCATCCTTCTTGTGACACTAAACTTTTAAGACCTGGTACTCTGCTTTTCCTCTCTCTGGAGGTGGCAGACCAGAAGGAATGATATCCTTTCAGAAGATGCTAAAAATCCAGGTGACTTCTTGGTTGCTGTATGGAGAAATCCCACGGCTAGAGACTCAGTAATGTAGCGTTGAGTGGCATTAAAGGGTTCCTAAATGACACATGGAGTGTCCCCTAATGGCACTGGAATAGTGTGTTTGAGTTGGAAGATGCTGAAGGTTTGCTTTCAAATATTAAGAAGTGGCCTGTCGATCAGCCATGGCACAGATGAGCTTCCACCATAGAGAGATGGCCGAAGGGATGGCAGAACAAGCAGGAACCATCTGACTTTAGGGTAGTGACTGGTGAGCCTTACACTTTTGCTTTTGTCTGGTCACAGTTACTATGCCAAGCTTCGACAACAAGAAATTGAGAGAGAAAGAGAGCTGGCAGAGAAGTACCGGGACCGTGCCAAGGAACGACGAGATGGTGTGAACAAAGATTATGAGGAAACTGAGCTGATCAGCACCACAGCTAACTACAGGGCTGTGGGCCCCACTGCTGAGGCGTGAGTGCCAGTGGGGCCAGGACTTGGCCCTGAGCCTCCAAGAGTCATACAGTCACAACACAAACTCTTTCTCAGACTTCTCCCTGGTCTGGAGCCCATTTCAGGAGGCACTTGCCACCCACAAGGAGTTGTTCTAATGTGGCTTCTTTCACTGTACAGGGACAAATCAGCTGCAGAGAAGAGAAGACAGTTGATCCAGGAGTCCAAATTCTTGGGTGGTGACATGGAACATACCCATTTGGTGAAAGGCTTAGATTTTGCTCTGCTTCAAAAGGTGAGTCTGGGTGGGTGATTGAAAAATGGTGCTAGAATGCTGAATGCTCATTAATGAACTTAGAGGAGTGAGAGTGCTTTTTTTTTTTTTAAGATTTATTTTTATTTACTTATGCATACAAGAACTGGGGTGTAGACCAGAGGTGCAGGGGAGTGGGGGGCAGGATTCACCAGAGACGGAGTGGGGAGCAGAACAGGCAGCTCTACTGAAATACACTGCTGAGGGGAGCAGTGGGCGAGATAGAGGTCTGCTGCACTGTGTGGGTCAGCTCCCTGGCTGGGGATCAAACTCGTGCTGCAGTGGCTACAGATAGCTTGACAGTGCTGAGAGTTAACCCCTTGCTCCACCAGGGAGGCCCCAAGACTACTTTTGGTTCAGGCCATCTGAAAGGACCAACAGTGGCCCTTCTGCTTATCATCCCATCTGAAAGGACCAACAGTGGCCCTTCTGCTTATCATCCTTTGAGTCTCAATTTTGTTTTCTTGGGAAGACCCTCCCTGACTACCTTCCCTGATTACCAGTTATGGTTCAGTCCCCCCATCCTTACTTCCCACTTCCTGCATTCTTGCAAAGCTTTTCTGCTTTATTTATAGCAGTTATTGTAGTTAGATATTTGTTTAATTTGTTTCTCCTGTTGTAAGCTGCATTCTTACTAAATGGCACAATGTGGTACAGTGGTAGTTAGTAAATATATGAACCATGAAAAACGCCTTAACACTACTTGCTTTCCTATTAGGTACGAGCTGAGATTGCCAGCAAGGAGAAAGAGGAGGAAGAATTGATGGAAAAGCCCCAGAAGGAAACCAAGTAAGTAAAGGTCGGGGAGAGCTGGAGAGTTAAGGAAGTCTCCCTGGAGCGTTTAGGAGGTGGTGCCTAATGCAGGGACATATTTAACAACAACAAAATGTTGTCTTTCCAGGAAAGACGAGGATCCTGAGAATAAAATTGAATTTAAGACCCGTTTGGGTGAGTACAGTTTCTGCATATTGACTGCATTCCAGGTGAAATTATAGAGAATTTGGGCATGATTTACTTTACTTTTTCCTCAACCTTCATTCCCCTCTTTTGTTCTCAAGCCAGCTGTTTTCTATAAAACACTGATAGAACTCAACATATAGATTTAGTTATTTTGTATATGCTATTAATGTGTCCTCAGTTAAGTTGGAAGCACTTTCAGATTGGGGCTTATACATTAAGGGAGGTAATGATTAAAAATCAGTAATTTCCAGTCAGAGAGACCTAGGTGTGAATCATATAGGTGAAAGCATATTAGGTGTGTTATTTCAGGCAATTAAATTTGCTTCTTAGGACCTGTTTGTCCGTCTGCACAAATGGAGTAAAAGTTAACCTCTTGGGGTTATTGGGACAAAGAGAAATAATATTTCTAATGTGTCTGTCTTACTGAGCATGTAATAGAGCTGTTTTTCCCCATCGTTGATATTTAAACTTAATCTATTTCTTTCTCATACATCTTTTTTTGTAAAGATTTACTTATTTATTCAGACAAAACTGGGGTACAGGCCAGAGGTACAGGGGTGTCGAGAGGGTTCACCAGAGACAGAGTGGGGAGCAGAACAGGTAGATTGACTAAAATCCACAGAGGAGTGGCAGGCGGGTCAGGAGTGGTCTTCCATGCCATGTGGGTCAGCTCCCTGGCTGGGGATTGAACTTGTGCTGCAGTGGCTGTGGAAAGCTTCATAGTCTGTCTTTTAAATAAATCATTGCGCCATCAGGGAGGGCCCTCTTTCTCACATATCTAGTACCATGCTAAATACATAGTGTCTGGGGCTATGTAGAAGAGCTGATCTAGTGCAGGCTTTGGAATTAGACTTCCTGAGTCCTGTTGTTTGTTCTGTCATTTGATAGCCATATGAGTTTTGACTAATCACTTAACGCTCAACCTCACTATTCTTATTAAGAGAAAGGTTCAATGAAGGAAGCAGGTCATGCCTGGCAGTTGGCACGGTGGCCGGGTTAGAGTCAGCTTTTAGTAGCTAGGCTGTTAGGCGAAGTTCTCATTGCTGCACTTCCTGTTTCTAGGCCGCAACGTTTACCGCATGCTTTTCAAGAGCAAAGCATATGAGCGGAACGAGCTGTTCCTGCCGGGCCGTATGGCTTATGTGGTAGACCTGGATGATGAGTACGCTGACACGGACATCCCCACAACGCTTATTCGCAGCAAGGCCGATTGCCCCACCATGGAGGTGAGTGACCTGGGTCCTCAAAGCCTGTGACGTGAACCTTTCTGAACGTTAAATCCATCACCAGGGCCTATTTTTTACCTCTCAAATATCAGTTGAATCTATCACTGTTATCTATTTCTAATACTATTCCAGTCTCAACCATCTAGTCCCTTCGGAACTATTAAAAGAGTCCTAATTGGTTTCCCTAACCCGACTCTGGTTTCCTCCTGGTGTGTTATAAATGGATTGAGGTATAATTCACATATCATATATATTATGATACCTTTTATAATAGTATACATCCAGCGGCATTCAGTACATTCTTAGATTTGTGCAACTATCACCATAATCATTAAAACATTTTTATCACCTTAAAAAGAAAGTTTGTACTTTAGCTACCATCCTACCAGTCTCCGCAATCCCTTTTTCACTTCGGGTTTTAGACATCATCAGAATGATCATTTCAGAGCTTGAATTTTTCTCTCTTGACAGTTGGGAAACTTTCAGTGGTTTCTCATTGTTAGGACAAAGCAAAATGTTTTTTTTTTTAAAGATTTATTTATTTGTGCATACAGAACTGGGGTACAGGCCAGAGGCTCAGGGGTGGTGAGAGGCTTCACCAGAGACAGAGTGGGGAGCAGAACAGGCAGATCGACGAAGTACACTGCTGAGGGGAGCAGTGGGCGGGTCAGGAGAGGTCTGGCTCGCCATGTGGTCTCCTCCGGGGCAGGCGGCAGGCGGGAATCGAACTCATGCGGAAGTGGCTTCAGATTCTCAGTGCTGTGCTTTAACCCGCTGCGCCACCAGGGAGGGCCCAAAGCAAAATGTTTTATGTGGCCTATGAATTTGGCCTCTCCAGCCACTTTCTATTGTGCTTTGTTTGTACTGTAGTTTTGTAGCTTTTTGAATGTAGATTTATTATGATTTTTTAAAAGATTTACATTTTTATGCATACAAGAACTGGGGTGCAGGCCACAGGTGTGGGGTGGAGACAGTGAGAGGATTCACCGGAGACGGATTGGGGAGCACAACAGGCAGATCGGCCGAAATACACTTCCGAGGGGACATCGGGCGAGACAGAGAGGTCTGCTGTGTCATGTGGGTTTGTTCCCTGGCCCTGGATTGAACTCATGCTGTATTGGTGGTGATAGCTGATAGCGTGGAGACGTTAACCCCCACACCTTCAGGGAGACCTGTAGATTTATTCTTGACCCAGGCCTTTGTGCAGCATGCAGTTCCATCATCAGGAATGAGCTTCTGCAGTGCCTCCTTTCCCTGTCTTTACCTAGTTACTTCTGACTTGTCCTTCAGTTTGTTAAGTAACTGAGTAATTGGAGAGTTACTTGACTCAGTATATAACATTCTTGCTTGGGACTTTCAGGCCCAGACCACTCTGACCACAAATGACATTGTCATCAGCAAGCTTACCCAGATCCTTTCCTACTTGAGGCAGGGTACCCGCAACAAGAAGCTCAAGAAGAAGGATAAAGGTAACCTATTTGGGGAGAGAAACTTTACCCCTAAAGGGGTGCTTGGGGGTGGATTCTTCTGTTTCCAGAATATTGATAAGTTCTTGGGGAGCAATAGAACATTGGCAAGGGGTTGGTTATATACAAGTTCTGTCTACTTGCCTCATCTGTGGTAGCTCTGAGGTATGAGGAGGGAGAGTCTGGTTGGCTTTTGTTTTCCCACCTTTTAAATAGAAAATATTATAAAAGGGCCTTGAGCATTGGAGATCTTGTAGAGGCTGAGTAGACTTAATTCAGTAATATTTTCTCCATTCCTCTCTTTATATTTTAGGGAAGCTGGAAGAGAAGAAACCCCCTGAAGCTGACATGAAGTATGTACCCTAGCCCCCTCACCTGGTCTGAGGGAGGAGGGGACTCTGATTGCAGTCTTGTCTTTGACATCTTGGGGAGGCCTTGTTGTTAGAATCTGACAAAAGGAAGAGGAAGTGTGTATACTCTGGTCACTACTGATCTCTGTTTTCCTAGTATATTTGAAGACATTGGGGATTATGTACCCTCCACGACTAAGACACCTCGGGACAAGGAGCGGGAGAGGTATCGGGAACGGGAGCGAGATCGCGAAAGAGACAGAGACCGTGACAGAGAACGGGAGCGAGAACGAGAACGAGATCGGGAACGGGAGCGAGACCGAGAGAGAGAGGAGGAGAAAAAGAGGCACAGCTACTTTGAAAAGCCGAAAGTAGACGATGAGGTGAGATGGCCCTGGTACAAGTGGTGGAGTGCCCATCTCCATGTCTGCCCCTCTGTTGCTGTATGATTCCTGTGGGGTGCCTAGCCGGAGTAGGAGCCATCCTGAAAACGGGGGCGTCGGGGCGGGGCTGGGTAGGCACTGATTCTGTCTTGGGGGAGGGATGTATGGGAATGCCTTGTGATAGCTCATTTCAGTTTCTCTTTTCTCTCTAGCCCATGGATGCCGACAAAGGTGGGTTATATTTACAGCATCTTGTCTTGGTTCTCAAGGTCCTAGTTGGCCCTGGACTGAGCTCAGAGCTGGTGAGGGTGGGGTTAGGGGCTTCCTGGTTCTGAGTTCCCAAAGTCTACATCTAACTTTATAGATTACAAAGATAAATCTAGAATTTACTTCATCTTCCTGGGCAGTGACATAGCATATTTGCTCTACTAGCTGTAATTCTTGTAGCTATAGGTTTCTGATGAGGCAGGTCCAGCAGATAGTCTAGACACCCTACCCATCACAACAGAGTAACTCATTATTAGTTATAATTTGATTGAACAATTTGTTAGCCGAAAGGGTTCTGTGGTTTAAAAAAAAAAATGTTATAAAAGCCGTAGATTGGAAGTATGCTGTGGAGAAGAGGATTTGAGTTTGTTGTTTTAAAGTCTAAACAGAGTTCTCTCCCTAGGACCTGCATCTGCCAAGGAGTTGATCAAATCAATCAATGAGAAGTTTGCGGGTTCTGCTGGCTGGGAAGGGACAGAATCATATCCTTTGAAAATATTCTTGTGTTCTAGAATACCTATCTTTTTTTTTTTTTTTTTTAAAGATTTATTTATTTATTTGTGCATACAGAACTGGGGTACAGGCCAGAGGCTTAGGGGCGGTGAGAGGCTTCACCAGAGACAGAGTGGGGAGCAGAACAGGCAGAATGACAAAGTATACTGCTGAGGGAAGCAGCGGGCGGGTCAGGAGGGGTCTGGCTCGCCATGTGGTCTCCTCCGGGGCAGGCGGCAGGCAGCAGGCGGGAATCGAACTCATGCGGAAGTGGCTTCAGATTCTCACTGCTGTGCTTTAACCCGCTGCGCCACCAGGGAGGGCCTAGAATACCTATCTTTAACTCCACCTGCTTCCCTGCATCCCCTTGCTCACCCCACTGCTTCACTTCTGTGCTAAATTTGACCTGGATGAGGTCATGCCTTTCCCTTTGTCGGAAAATCCATCCCAGCTCTCAGCCGTCTCCTTAAGGAGACTGTTTATGTGAGAACTACTTTCCTCCGATGCTTCCTGCTTGAAGCATCTTTATAGAAGTAGAATTTTCTTTAACAAAGCATATGCTGAAGAAGCCAGAGGACAAGAAACAACTGGGAGATTTCTTTGGAATGTCCAACAGTTATGCTGAGTGCTACCCAGCCACGTATGTGAGATCCTGCTTTAAAAAAAAAGGGGGGAGGATGGGGTGCTTAGAAAAAAAATTTCAGGGAATGATATGGGAATTTGATTTGCCTGGACATGGGGCACTTCTCACTGAAAGAACTGTCTTGTCAGACTCTGATTGGGTGGTCAAGCAGGGTAGTCATACCAGCATAGGGTCTGGGCCTATTCCGTCTGTTTACGTGTTTAATGTTGTTTCTCCTTAGGATGGATGACATGGCCGTGGACAGTGACGAGGAGGTGGATTATAGCAAAATGGACCAGGTGTGGAGGTGGAAGTGTTTGGGCAGGGGAGGCGCTCAGGAAATTACTCTTTTGCACACAGACCAAAGAGCCACGTCTCACTGGTCTTAGCCTCTCAGCTGCAGCAACAAGAGCAGCAGCATTGTGGGCTCATGGGCGGCTTACCTAGTTTAAGTCTCTGCAGCAAATGAGATTTTCCACAAAGTGCTAGGCTTTAACCTCCATCCTAGCAGGAAGCAAGCCTTTAGTGAAAGGACAGAAGGAATTGTAACATTTAGAAAATACCTGATTTTTGTTCTAACCAGGTTGAAATTTTCTTCTAAACAAGAACAAACTTCAGCAGACAATAACACCACTAATGATGAGGAATTTCTTCTTTTTCCTTTGTTCGTAGTGCCTTGCAATGATTAAGAGCGAGGTTTAATTCCATGTTGGAACATTGTTTAACCTCAGTTCTGCCTTGTTTTATTTTACTGTTTGTGTTTCACTTTTCT